AGTCTAATTCCATTTGCTGTTATGATGTTAGATGAAGGAATTCCAAGTTCAATCCAACCAGAACATGACAAAACTTTCCTCTCCGTTGTCTTTGTTGACAAATTCTTGTTGACGCTAACTCCTTCGACTCCGGTGAAAAAGTGCCAAGCTTTCTTCTGATTATGTAGGCTTCAAGGAAGTCGAAGGAGACTGGCCCAGGGATGCTTTCAGCATGGATGTTCTGTGAAAGCCAACCGATTTCTGCTAAGGTTGACCTTCGAATCTCCTCCATACACACTTTTACTCAAAATGTATGCATTATTTACAGATTCATTGAAGCCCGAAATCTTAGCTTATACTTTTGCCATATCAAGTCCATCGGTTGTTGCTCAACCTGTACAATTTCTATTAGCCAAACACTCACCGGAAGCTTGTGCAGGAATGAATTGCAAATCTAAACATAGTATCAATTTACATGCTGTCGTAATAGCAAGCATTGAATCAACTTCCGTTTCGAGTGAACTTGCAATGATGGGATTGGAGGGTCGAGTTCACGGGAAGATGACAGCCAATTCCTATTGGCAATCTGCCTATTGTCTTTACTGGAACATGATGTGCCCACCCATGCATGGGTATGATTTATAGAATGATGTGGTTATTTATTTTTATACACTTAACTAAAAGCATGCACTATTTAATGCTTGTAGGTGTGTTTTATTAAAATTTCCGTAAAGGCAAACAATGGTTTATCTTTCTTACCAATCCTGCTTTGCCTATTTCTTATTCTTTCCAATCTTCACTTCTCCTCATTACTCGAGACCGTCAGATTGAAGTTTTTATCAACCGGTTCATTGCTCGCCTGCTCTTAATGCCTCGTAAAGAGGATGAACCCCTACCTCCCGGCGTGTCTGAAAGTCAAAACAGAAAATTGAAACTTCAACAGCACCAGGAGGAACAGACCAAATGGCACTTGCAGCAACAGTACCACAAAAAGATGTCCGACTACCCCGATGAATGGTCGAATAGATTGAGTCGCTTGGATCCGGCCGAGTCAGGTAAGAAGTTGACTCCAAATGGGGCTCGGACAAATCGGCCGCTTATGCCAGCAAACCATTTTGATCGCAGCATGAAGACCGAATTCCGACCAATCGGCCTGTCAGCCTCACCACCACTGCTGCCGTTGATAGATTCGCAAACATCAAAGATCCCGCCTCCAACTATGAAGGAGGCCTGGATTGGCCGGCAGTCACGTCACCGCAGATACGGTCGTCAGGAGGAGCGACGACGGCGCATGGAGGCAGCAATTTCGGCTATTATGGTCGCCTCAACGACTTCTGCAATACTGACCAAACACGGTAATCCGTCAGTATTTAGAGCCTTATAGTACGCAGCAATGCTGCACTCTCTGAAAGAGATAATTTTCCTTTACTTTAGCACTGTTTATTGAACAAAACTTTGCAATCTCACTAGTGATGCCTCTGTTGATCAATCATTCTGCATAGATTTTTTGTGATCCCTTGATTTTGTCTATTAGGCAATAAACTCTCTATAGTCTAGTCGTACAGAGACAGACACACTCACCTGCAGAGAAGTTGACATATGACCTTAACTAACCAAATCACTTTATACTCGATCAAAGAGGCTAGATGTGGAGTAGATATACCACTTTTTAGCTTATCTTCCTACCAGTATTCCTTAGATTCAAAGTATTTGCTATTCGGTTTATTTCGATGGCTTCTCTAATTTTACGCTGAGCCGAGAACATTCCGTATCCAGCAAAACGATAAATTTGAGATCATTCAATCTTGTTTTCCTTTTATACCCTTTACTCAGCCATCCTTTATCGAATGAAACGACAAGTCTCTACAACATAAAAGCGACCATATTAACACATTATTTTGTAACAACCCGATCTCGATAATGGATCAACATTCTTTCGAAAATATATAAAGATCAAGATGTTGTGGCCTCTGATATGGACGCAGTTTGAGAATGTACCAAATCCACTGTCAGAGGCGGGGAAGCATGACAACCATTATGGCAGACGACTTCGGACTAGGTGCGTTCTACATAGTCGCCCTGACAACAAGACCAAACTGCGACAACTAGGCCAAACCATTTCTTTGTAAAAGTTGGCATAACTAAATAAAGTGCCGAAGTTTCTCTGAAAACAGTTTTTATTCCCCACTTCCTTATTTTTCATCTCTTCTTTTAGAGAATTCACGAAGCTATTCACCATTCTAAAAGCTATTCTTTATTAATCTAGTGTTATTTTCAATCAAGCTTAGGATATAATTATTTTCAAGAAATACTATTTTAAGCCGATTCAGTTGATTGTCACAATGCTCTCAATCTGCTAGTCTTATGCTCCGAATATTCATAGATTTTTAAACTCCAACCTTTGTTTTGTCACATACAGAGACGGACACACTCACAG